TCCAGCGATTACAGCGCCTTAAAAGTTTTCCTCCTAAATCGTTGCAGTTCATTTTGGCGAAGATACAGTGCGATCACTAAAATTTTGCCATAATCATAACTATTGTGATATTCTTCTTAACTAAGGGTGAAACGTCGAGTGACTCTGAATTATTTACTCACCACAGTCAGTCAATCACCCGCGTTTAAATCGCACGTGAGTACGATGCCGCAAGCAACTAAGCAGGGTAAACCTTTTATGTAGGCTCGTTCAAACTTATTATGTAATAATTGCATCGCAGAGTTCTAAACAGCCGCAGCTGTTCGGTGAGGGAATGAGACAAGCTGCAAAGCTCGGTGAAGTAATGCAACTCGTGATTCCAGCCATTAAGTTATGTTCAACACCGTAGTTGCCGACACCCGGCGCACTGTGCCTGCACATCACCGCAAAGTAAACAAGAATCTAGCAACATGCATACAATAATTGCTAATGTCCTCCAACACCCCACTCTCAATAAGGTTCCCAAAATTGCGCCGTATAACTGTAAAAGGAGCTACCCTTCCGTGTGAATGCTTCGAAGAACTGTGACGAATTGACGGAAAAGCGCTACTATCAAAATCATTTTATCATGGGCCTCACAAAAGAAATCTCCTGCCCGGACTCAACTGTAGTCATCTTCATTGGTGAAATATGAATCCCATCCGGCCTGTGCTACTGCAGTCTTGAAGGTCAGACCCTACTCTGTGTTCTGATGGCCCAAGCCCTAACATATGTGTTCTGAGGGTTCTCTGGAAGTTATATGGCATGATAACTGGCCCTCTGATGCAAAAGTCTCACGATACCCGTTAATTATCATGCGATCCAGCAACTGGCTGAGAAGTTCGGCCACTTCTAAACATCTCCAGCATATAGCATCTCTAGCACAGTAAGAAAAACGCGATCACCTTGAGCCTGTTGATGATGCTGGGTTTTCTGATTCTGTGGTTGGCACAACGAGAAACAAGAAAATAGTTTTATTTATAAAAACTGCAGGGCTTCGACCGAATTGGCATCGATCATCGTCAGAGAATGTATATGAAACAAACTGCCGGGTCAGCTGGTGCTTGACCTGATTGGTTGGACGCTAGGCCAGTCGCCAATTAAGCTATGAAACATGCTCAACGCCGCGGAAATGTCATTGGAGCCAATGCAGCCGTTGCAAATTCTAACCTTGCCGGCAGTGATATATAGCGACTCTTTGATTGGCAGTTTCACTTTACCCTGATATCCATCGACTGTTACATCGCTATTCCTAAAGTCATGGCCTCATGACCATTCTCCAGGCAGGGGATGCAAATCCAAAATAATCAGCATTATGGTACCTGCGGCTCTTCTGTGTTCCGTTAATCTAGTTTTTGACGCTCGATATGTCTTGCCAGTGTACTACTTGTCACAGCTACTGCAATCTGTCTGATATACCACGGTTTTGATCTTCAAGCTGGGGTGAGAATCAAGTTTTTTTACAGTACGATTCGTAACGTTTTGCTCATGTAGAAAAATACATTAAAGCAGTAGATTTCCAATCTTCTTCTCCCATCGCCCCTTTCGGGTCGCGGAGGCAGACGCGTCAGACAGTGCTTCCAACGTTCCCGATCCTGTGCCAGAGTCT